CAAGCTGCAGATGGTGTGGCGCCGCTCCGCGGTGCCCGCCCGCCGCTTCTCGGGCGCCGCGCCCGGAGGGCCCGGGTCGCACCTCGCGCCGCCAGGACTGGCATCCACGCCGGCCGGCACCGGGTCCACGCCCAAACCTAGAGGGGCGGGGTGGGGGGGTCAGCTACGGGAGATCGCAGCTAAGAAACCTCTTGAGGCCACCAAGTGGGCGCCCGCACCTCCCTGCCGCCGCTCTGGGCTCCCGCTGCCCGAGTCTCAACCTGCCCAGCACACCCAGGTCCGGCGCTCGGGATTCCAGGGCCCGCCCCTGGCTTCCAAACTGTTCCGCCCTTCAGGATCGCACCCACCGGCTTAAATTCGGACTCCGCCCCTGACCCCACCCCTTTCACGGCTTTGACTCCGCCCCTGGCCTTCCTCATTACTGTGACCCCACCCTGGGACCTCTGCGTCAGACCTGCCTTCTGACTAGATGATCAGAACGTCTGCTCTCAGTGTCCTTAATTTGGACAGTTTCAGGTTTTAGCACGCCCACTTTCCTCAGCCCCGCCCCCAGTTTGCTGTGGCTCTATCCTGCCCTTGGTCTCAGGGTAATACGGACAGGTTTGCCTTCACGCCCTCTTGTTTCCTCACACCCCAACTCTGCTGTAGGTCCCCACTGCCAGGCCCCACCGCCGCCCACCGGTTTTAAGCACCAGCAGGTGCAGCGCGTCGTCCTGCAGGTAGGAGGCGGCAGCGATCTCGTGCGTGGGGATGCGCAGGATGAGCTCTTCGTTGTCACGCCAAGTGAGCAGCAGGCAGCGGGCCGACAGGCTCAGGATGCTGTCTTGCTCAGCCGTGGTCTTCAGCGGCAGCTCCTTCAGCTGCTGCGGGTGGGTCAGGTCTCCTGAGTCCGGGTGGGAGGTGTGGGCAGGAGAAGGAGAAGAGGACAGGACCCGGCCCTCCACCTTCTCTCCCCAAAGCCTCACCCTGGCCTTGTCCAGCAGCTGCAGGAGCTCATCTCGGCTGGAGGGGTTCAGAGATGAAGTCACCCAGGTGAGGTGGCCTAGGAACTGGATGAGAAATGAAAGACCGAATGACACACTCACCCTCAACCTATGGAGGACCTGGCGGCAGTAAAGATAGGCGGAGATAGAAATTGCCGAATTCAGACTGGGGAGAGAGCTCGGCCGTGTAAGTCCCTGCCTGGCAAGTGCAAGGTCCTAAATTCAATCTCTGTACAAAAAAAAAGCCAAAAAATCTGAATTTGTGATATGATAACTTTTATCGAGTCCATCACAGAAGCCAGCACAGTTCTGAGGGCATTATGGATATTCACTCACCCATGACACAGACTAAAACATTTGCCCAGAGCAGGGCGTGGTTGTACACATTTGTTAATCCCAGCATTCTGAGCAATTGAAGCCAGAGGATCACAAATTCAAGCCCAGCACAAACAATTTAGTGATTAGCAAAACTTGTCCCTTCAGAATAGAAGGACCTCGGGGCTGGTGAGATGGCTCAGTGGTCTAAAGCACCTACTTAGAACAAGCTTAGCCCCCTGGAGGGCTGAGCTGGCCACACACACACACACACACACACACACACACACACACGAATAGAATAGAAGGACCTGGGAATGTAGCTCAGTGTGAAAGCCCTGGATGCGATTCCCAGTAAGGCCTTGTGAATGCTGTACAAATGTTCTATAGCTGAACTGTACCCTTGCCTCTGCTGTCGCTTGAAAGGACTAACTCCAGCTGGCTGTGGTGGCTTAAGCCTCTTCTCCCAGCTACTTGGGAGGCTGAGGCAGGTAGATCACAATTTGAGACCTGAGATATTTTGTGAAACCCTGCCTCAAAATTAAAAACAAAAAAGGGGGCTGGGAAGGCACAGTGCCTTCCTGGCAAGTGCAAAGTTCTGAGTTTGATCCCTGTTTCTTTTTGTTGTTGTTGTTGTTGTTGTTGTTGTTGTTTTAAAGGACTCAGTGGTAAAATGCTTCCAAATGGACTGCAGCTCATAAGCACTCTTTATGATCTTCTTGCAGAAGTTGAATGGCAAGGGAAGAATGTATTGAATTAATACTTCATTTTGTCAGAAAAATAGTGCTTCTTGTCAATATATGAATTCTTCATTTAGTCTTAGTTGTAACCTGATGTTATCACCTAAGTGTTATTCAATATGAGAATTAACTTTCTTCATTATTTTCAGTTGTAGTCTTTTAGGTGAATTCCCCCAAATTTTTCTCCTCTTTTTATTCTCCATGAAATCTCAGTCCTCAGATTTCAAGTAGATTTGTTAGCTTTTCCCTGTAGCTTGCTAGATAAAATACAGGATGCCAATTAAATTTGAATTTCAGATAAATAATAATTTTGGTTTTAAGTTTTTAGAACTTTTAGTTCTGTGCAATATTTGGGACATATTTATGCTAAAAAGTACTCACTGCTTATCTGAAATTCAAATTTAACTAAGTGGCCTATTGTTTGCTAAATATGACAGTCCCATCCTGTCACAATCCTCCTTGGCTGAGAGTGCCCACTGCCTTCCTGATGTTCCTGACACAGACGTTCTTGGGCAGTCGGACTCCTATGTGTCTCGTTCTTACCCTGGACACTCAGGGTAACAAAGTAAAATCTTAGGGGAAAGCAGAGCTTTTGCAGAACACAGAACACTTTCCCATCCATAATCCATGGGGACAGGTGTTGACCCCATGTTGAGAAAGGAACACTGAGACTCAGAGGATAGAGGTCACTGGTTAGGGGTATACAGGACAAGGGCTAGTGAGATAGCTCAGGGGAGTAAGTGCCTGCTTAGGCAAGTGCATGGACTGAGGTCGATTCCTGGTACTGCATGCCTCACAGGCCCTGCCCCTGGGGGCACTGAGCTGGCGACTGAGTACTGGCGTGGAGATACATGCCTGTTATCCCAGCACTGGGGAGGCTGAAAACAGAGGACCACTATGAGTCTAAGCTACGTAGTAAGACCTGTACCAAATACATTTTTAAAAAAGGGGTACACAGGACAAGGCAAGGGCGAAGCTGTCATGAACCCAGGCCTGTTGCCCAGGAGCCACAACAACCACCCCTGCATGAGACCAGGCTGGCCAGGGGCTGGGGGGGGGGCTGGTAAAGCCTCACCCCACCCCTTCTTATCCCACACTCACCTTGACCTCTTTCTCCAAGTAGTCACATAGGAGAATCTGGGGGTCGATGAGATAGTCAGGGGGATAAAGGGGCATCGAGTGCAGGGGTCGGCGGCTCACACTGTTGCGAAAGGCTGCCCGGCGTGCAGCCTTGGGGAACACGAGCCTTCGGATGGGGGACACAAAGCCCTGGGAACAAGAAGGATAACAGCACTGACTTCATTGAGCATTTATTATGCCTACTGTTTTCCTTACAGGACCTAAGTTAACTCTCATTAAAAACTGTAAAAGGACTGAGGCGATAGCTCAGTGGCCTAAGGGCCTGCCTGGCAAGAGCAAGGACCTGAGTTTGGTCCCCAGTACCGCATGCTATGAAGGCTCCAGATCCCTGGGCACCTTGCCCGCCCAGGCATGGTGGCACATGCCTGTAATCCCAGCCCTGGGGAGGCTGAGATCACTGTAAGTCTGAACTGCATAACAAGACCCTTTATCAAATAGGTAAACAAATGGGGAAAAAAACCTGAAAACCAAAAAACCCTGTAAAAGGTGCACCTTTGTGATTCCTGCTTCACAGATGAAAAACTTATGTCCCAGAGAGGGAGCTAGCTGAGAAGCTATTAGGGATAGAACCCGTCTAGTTCCAGACTGCAGCCAGAGTGGGAAGCAGCAGCTCAGAAGTGTGGTTCTCACTTTGGGCTCCATTCTTATCCTCCCGGTGAGGGTGTAGCCCCTCTCAATCAGGTTTAAGGAATGGGTCCAGACTGAGGCAAATATTGAAAAAATCAGTGTTGATCTGCGGTGGGCGCAAAGGTTTTGTGAAGGTATTCTCCATGTCTTCCTAAAAGTCAGATATAAGTAATTTAAGGGCAAGCCAGAGGCACCTGAATAAAAATGACTGGGATCAAGGTTAGAGGAACAAATTATAGGTGCCCAGCTCAGACCAACAGAACCTAAATATCCAGCAGCACTGCCTCAGAGCCCAGAGAAATATAGATTCCCAGGCTCTCTCCAGGCTCTCTGAACTCGGAAATAGGGCCCAGCAATCAGGATTTAACAGGCCCCCCAAGAGATTCTGATGCATGCCCAGGTGTGAGAACTACACTTCAGAGCAGATGCTCCCCGCTCTGGCTGCATCCTGCTTGGAAATACTTGGTTGGGCAGCTTCTAAAACTTTTTTTTTTTTTTTTAATATTTATTTATTTATTTATTTAGTGTGTGTGTGGCCAGCTCAGCCCACCAGGGGGCGGGCCTGGCTGGCATGTGGTGCTGGGGATTGAACCGTGGTCCCTGTGTTTTGCTTAGCTTAGCTTGTTCTAAGTAGGTGCTTTAGACCACTGAACCATCTCACCAGCCCCAGCTTCTAAAACTTAAGGTGCTTAGACTACATCCCAGACCAACCAAGCAAATCAGGGGCTCTGGGGCTGGGACCCAGTGATAGGGTTCTTGCAGGATCCTCGGTGATTTCAGCGGCAGCCCAGCTGTGAGCATCTAAATAGAATTGGTGGCATGAGTTTTTAGCTCCTGCCATAAGACAAGGTGAACAAGACAACACCCCTGCCCTTGGGAGCTCAAGTTCCAATTCAAGTAAACACACTAAACACAAGTCCACAAGTGCCTGGTTTCATTCTTTCAGTGAACATTCATTCATGTTGGGATTCAGGGCCTTAACTGGACCCCAGTCCTGCCTCCAGGGTTCACCATAAATGGCATGGACTAGTGAGTTTCAAACTTCACTGTGCTCATGAGTTTTGATCCAGTAGTTGTGGGGTAGAGCTGAGACTTTGTATGTCTAATGTGCTCCTGTATGCAGGTGCTGCGGGCTGCACACCATACCTGGAATAGCTGAGGCCAAGAGCAGTGGTCCTCAGAATATGTCCCACAGCCACCATCCCCTGGGAGAGTGTTAGAAATGCTGCCTCGCACAGAACACCCATGATCTATTAAGTCAGATCCCAATGATCTACTCAAAACATTCCCTATCTATCCCCTTCATTCTACCCCTTAGCTCTTAGCAAAAACTTATCAGCCTAGGGGTGGAGACACTAACATTCTGTCTCCCACTGCAGAAAAAGAGGTCTTTTATGTAATTTTACATTACTTCATTCATTGCCTTAAGAAAACAAAACAAAACTGTTCCTCTTACTAGCCTGTGGGCTATGGGGAAGGAGCAGGGAATTCATCTGACTTTGCACACCACTGCATCCTCACCAGCATCTGGCACAAGACAGGTGCTCAATGAATGCCTATCAAAGGAAAATGGCAGAAAGGGCATGCGCATGTGGTGGCTCCCTCCTGAGTGCTCTGTGACTCACATAGGCACCTTTTGGAGCACCCTGAGCCAGGGTTCTTGGGAAAGGAGGGCACTGTATGGGTGGAGTGGGGAGAGTTGGAATGCAAGGAGTTCAGGGACACAGCCAGCAAAGCGGACTAAAAACTTGTCAGAGTTGGGGAGGGGTGGATGGGAAGGGTTGGGGGATGGCTCCCAGCTGATGCCTTCAGAGGGAGCCTGATGCAAAGATGGGGAGAAGGCAAGAGACCCAGACTGAGACAGGCTGCCTCTTAGCACAGAGGTGCCCCAGCTGGAGGTGGGGGAGTGGAACGTTGGGTCTGCTGGGTGTCTGTCAGTTCCTCTGTCTGAGAAGACACAGGAAAGACCCACTAGAAATACCAGGGAAGCAAGTTTCCCAGGAAGGTCCCTGTCTGTTCAGGGATGGCAGAGGCCACCAATAGTGAGAAACAAGCTAGGGAGTGCAGAGCCCAAATGTCTGGCTGCAGGGGGGGCGGGGGCAGGGTGGAAAGGAAGTGAGGAGGAAGGCCTACCTATGCCACCGCACCCCCAACCCAGAAGCCCCTTTCCACAGCTTCTGGGGCACTCCTCTGCCCTGCACCCCCCTCCAACTCCCACCTACCTTCTTCCCTTTCTTGACTTCATAGTCCATGGTGAAGCATCCTCTCTCCTCCTGCCACCTTTTCCGCTGCACCCCCCAACCCCAGTTCCTTTGTTCTTTTTCCTGCCTGGTCGGAAACTCCACCAGTGCTGTAGTTCCTGTCCCTCCCGTTCATGTGGCAGTGGGGAGGGGAGGTGGAGGACATGGCGCTGGGGACCCGGCAGCCCAAGGTGGAGACCCAGGCTTCCAGCCAGAAGGGATGTTGTCTAGGGAGGGGCTTAGCCATTGGGCAAGCCTGGGAAGGGGCTGTCAAGTGTGAAATCCAAATTTGGAAAATTTCAAGTTCCAGCCCCTCTTCTGCCACTGACCTTATTAACGTAATGACCTCGGCGAGGCAGTCAGTTCCCCAGTCAGAGCTGTGTGCTTGCCCTCTATAAACAGGGAGGAACCCGTGCCTCCTTCCCTGGGCTGCTGTGGGAAGAAGTGAATGAGAATGGGTGGGAAATATTTCAGAATACCATGTCTAAGCAAGTGACAATTAAAAACAATTCATTACTCTTCAGAGAGAAAGCATGTGTGGACCTTGGAGATGACTGCCTGGGTTTGATACCTGGCTTTTCCGCCTATTAGGGTTACAAGCTTGGGTGATTTCCACAAGCACTAATGGTTCACTCAGCTTCTGACTTCTTAGTGACCATCTAAGGATTAAATGTGCACAGAATAGCCCCTGGCACATATTACTCAGTACATTTTGGCTATATGGCTGGGGATGGAGCTCAGCAGTAGAACATTTGACCAGCATATGTTCCCCAGAACCATACACACACACACACACACACACACACACACACACCCATGCACACACATGCTCGCGCACACACACACTCGCATGCACACTAGCTGTTTACTTCTCTATGCTGCATGGGCTGTTTTACTGTTTCTTGGGAGAAGGTTAGGAAGGGAAGACCTCTTTGTGCCTCTGTGCCAAGCACGGTGCCTGTTTATTCCTTGCCCTGTCGGAGTACCGTTATTCCTACTACATAGATTGTTTTGGTTTGAGAAAGGTCTCACTATCTAGTTTAGGCTGGTAACTATTCCAGGATGGCCTCAAGTTCATGGTAATCCTCCTGCTTCAGCCTGTCAAGAGCTGGGATTACAAGCAGGCGCCACACTGGGCCTCCTACCTACATAGATTTTTAAAACTGAGAAGGATTTTTTTTTTTTGGCTGGCTCAGGCTGCCTTAAGTGCAGGTGTGGTGTGGCATGTGGAGCTGGGGATTGAACCTCGCTCCCACAAACCTGACTGGGTAGTCCCAGGCAGGTGCTTAAACAGCTGAGCTAACTGGCAAGCCCCTAAATTTTTATATTTATTTATTTATTTATTTATTTATTTATTTATTTATTCTTGTATGTTAGGGAAGGGTCTACAGGGTGTTCAAGGTCTCACTACTAGATTGGACTTTCAGTGATCCACCTGTTTACAGCCTCCCAAGAGCTGGGATTACAGGCGTGTGCCACCACGCCCAGTCTCAATTGCCTCTCAGCTCACCCCAGGGGGCAGGGCCAGCATGGCAGGCCTGGGGATTGACTTCCTGGCCTCCGTGCCCGCTTGCAGGTGCTTTAATCTGCTGAGCTATTTGACCGGTCAGGCCCCTAAATTTTTAAAACTGAGATTCAAGGGCAGAGCCTAGCTCAGTAAAGTCACAAAGTGAATAATAAAACCTGGTGCTTTTGGCTGGTCTGGATCTGAAATCTAGTGTCCCTTACCTCTAGAATCTATGCCTTCTGCATGCCCTACCCATAACATTTCGAAAGGTTCTGAGTGGTCCATCCTTACGATGCTTTGACTCCTGGATTCTAAAGACCCATATTCTGTAATTTCTTTATTATATGACCCTGGCCACCCTTCCTTTCTCTGTCTCTGTCTCTGTCTCTGTCTCTGTCTCTGTCTCTGTCTCTGTCTCTGTCTCTCTCTCTCTCTCTCTCTCTCTCTCTGTCTCTGTTTGTCTGTCTGTCTCTCTCTCTCCCCCCTCTCTGACTCTATCTGTCTCTGTCTCTCTCTCCCCCATCTCTATCTCTGTCTCTGTCTGTCTGTCTGTCTCTCTCTCTCCCTTTCTCTCTCTCCCCCTTTCTGCCTCTATCTGTCTCTGTCTCTGTCTCTCT